GCTCACTTTCTCCGGCCGTTGTTCCGCGCGTTTCTCTTCCAAAACAATGGGCGGCTCGGAGAGCCGGGTCCCGGGTCGGCGGCCCACGCGGGCTCGGTGACCGTGTGCACTGAGCACACTTTGCTGTCTGTCCGACAGGGCCTCGGCCTGGGCGCCCCCCTTGCCGCTGCTAACTGCGGAATTCCGTGCAGCCGCTGGCTCTGCTTAACTTGGCCGCTCACAGTTCAAACACTGAGTAAAAACTGCATTACATCAAAGCAGTATTTCCAGTACATAAAAAAGTGCAAATGGCATTTCCAGGTACCTACCCCAATTTTAGATGCCATATACAGTTAAAGAATAGTTGATTAAAGCCAGGCATTGAAAGTCAAATGACCGATTTACACTATTAGGATTTTTTAAAAAGCTGATGTGTATTTTTTCTGTGTTCAGGGAATTTTTGCTGAATATGGTACACTGTTAAGAGTGGCTAAGAAATGTCTACCATTAGAAGATCTAAAGGGTAAAAGCACCTTGGTATTTATATTTCTTTATTCAGGTGCCAAAACAAAGCATTTTTCTATAGCAAATATTTTCATCTAAATTTAGAATTAAAATTTTAAGCAAAATAACTTGTTAAAGAAAATGTAAAATTTGCGGCAATGCAGCATGAGTCAAATTTAAGCATACTGAAGAATTATTGGGTGAGTGGCCTGAAAACAAGTTAGAATTTCACGAATTCTTAGAATTTGTATTTGCTTATCTCATAAGACAGAAATTGTTCCAATTGTCTCACCAGGATATGAGCTGGATAATGTCTGTGAAATTAAGACAAATACTATCATTAAACCAAAAAAGAAATGGCAAACCACACACACACACACACACACACACACACACACACACACACAAACAAACACACATGCGCGCCCGCGGTAATGACTACAGCATCAAAATAATGATTGGAATAAGTGCTTTTGTAAAACTAATTATTTAAGATACTGTCCTTGAGCAATACATTTCATTTAAAGAAACCCACTTGGTGGTCTTTTTTACACTTTTTCTTCTAGAGCCAGCCTAGTGGGTTTGTTGTAAATCAATTCATTTTGTGAAATGTTGACAAAAGGTTCTACATTTTAGACTGTGTTCCTGGAAACTACAAGTGTCTCCAGCTGGGGAAGACAGAGCTCGTGGCACCAGCCACTGGCACACCACGCAATGGCGACACAGAACCAGAGCAGACACGACCCTCCACTGAGACATACTCCTAGGAATTACTTTAAACCCGGCACACGAGTAAGTTCCTAGCTTGTCTCTGTACTTCTGGCAGAAACACAAAGCCAGTCTTATGAAGATGGTCCAGTCCCTTTTTGGATAGTTAACTCTATCAAATCCATTAATTAAACATTTATTGAGTCCCCGAGAAAATGAACTTCTTTCAGAGAGAAGGAAATGGATAACTGGCTCCTTTTGACTTAGACCCTCAGTGTAATGTAAGATCGGAACTGCTAGTCCACTCTGCTTGAAAATAAGTGAAATCGTAGAAAACAAGCTGTGAGCCTGGGGTGTGGCCACCTTGGACTCCACATCCAGTGCCTGTAGGAAGAATCCCTTCCCAACGAAAGATAGTGCTAAGCAACATTCTGTGCATTGGAAAATAATCAATCCTGGCTCCTGTAGAAAACATTAAAAACATTTCTGTATGACAACGTGCAAATCCTGGACAAAAATCAGCATCAGCTTTCATTTAGCAGTTCATTGAATGGGCTATTTATGGATTGAGACTTTTGATTTACAATGCATCATCTCAGGGTTCAGCATTGTCTTTTGATTTCTTTCCAGCTGAACAGGCTGTCGCTGTAAATGCCTCTGTCAGCCTACATGGCTGACTGTTCTCACAGAGAAGGAGTTGAGGAGCCCACTGGGCTTGGTGTGCGGACAGCCACTCTGGGAGCTGGCAGCTTATGTGATCAGCCACGAGGGAGGGGCGGGAAGGTGGCCGAGGCCATGGCCCAGTGGTGGCTGTGGCCCAGTCCCCATGGTTATGTCAGGACGCCCTTCATGCTTGGAGTTCGTGTGCTCCAGGCCTTCGTCGTTTGCCCTGTGGAGGAAGGACGTTTCAGTGGCTGCTGTGAGCGTGGACAGAGATGTGGTGGAGACACATCCGTGCTGTTCAGAGAGCATAAAGGTAGATGTTTCTCAGTGTTTCTGAGAGCTGAGACAGACGGCGCTGCAGTGCTGTGGAGACACGCACCCCCACACCCCCACGCGAAGTCACACGCGCACACACACAACCGCTCTATTAAAAATTTCAAAATGGTCGCAGATATCTCATTCATAGGAAGGTTAAAGGCGTTTCCCATCGCAAGAAGGATTAGCTTACCGGAGGATTCTGGGACTGCAGATGTATACTGCGGCAAAATCCTAAATTCATCGAAAAAAATCATTTCTGGACTCCACCTGCTAAAAATAATAGAAATATAGTAAATCACGAGTAAGATTAAAACAAGCCATTTTCACATTGCAAAGTGTTCAGGAAAAAAAAAGATTCTTTTCTTTTAACTCATCTCTTAAACAATGCAAATTTTAAAGTAGCTTTTCTTTCCAGAGCACGCAGCGCCATGAAATCGATAATTTTTGATCTTTCGGTTAGTAGGCAACATGGTGAGCTATTGCAGGGACTGCAGGCAGCAGACATGTTCTTGTCAGCTAAAAATTTTAATATTGCTTTTGAACCCATTGAAATCTGTAGATGTCGTGTTGCCAGTTTTTTGTTTTAGCTTTCACTAGGCTATGAGGGGTGTGTGTGCAGACCCTCAGTTTATCGACATAGACATGTCTATTGCTTTCTATATACTAAAAACAGGGAATCTTACTGGATCCTAGACAAAAAATTATGTAAAAGGAGTGGCTGGTGTGATTATAATCCCATCATGCAGGGTCCACGGTTCCCATTTAGAGAAATTTCGCAGAGGGCAACTTCTTAAGAACATCCCCGCTGTGCAGAGTGAAAGGCATGAACAAACCAAAGACAGAATTCATCTGTGTTTATATTTTACAAACAATGAAAAACCTACTCTTTGTATGCCTTTTCCCCCACCTTATTATTTCATGAAAACTGCGGCATTTCCCCGCCCCCACACAAACACTCACCGCCCCAGCTCTGCAGTGCTCCGTCCCTCTCTGGCTTGTCCTTCTTCTTCTTTTTCGCTTTCACGAATTCTGCACGCGCCATCTTTGTGTGGGGTGATTCTCTGCTAATTTCAGTTACCCATTCTCTTACAAATCAGTTCAGAAATAGAACGTTATAGTGCGCTGATGAGGCTTGATTTGTCTGAATTTCTTTCAGTCTTCCCCTCTGGCATAGGAAAATGGAAACAACAGGGGGGAGAGCTCCCCAAAAAGGAGACATTTCTTTTATTGCCATAACCTGTTGTATACAGTGGTGATAAAAAATATTATTAACATAATAGCAACAGCTGCAGCCTAAATGGAAGCTATGAGATAATTAATGTGCTACAACAAATTGCTGTGCTGCAGGTGCTGCTGTTGTGAACTGAGTAGCCCGTGCCATATAAACCCTAAACGCAATTAGGGTCCCCCCACTGCAACAAAATGCAGGGTAAAATGTCCTGTTTGGTAAATACACCTACTACTAAAATATAAATAAATGAAAACCCTCCTCCACCCTTTCCCCTGCCCACCCAAGCCACCCCAAGTGGTTCAGCCATCAGTGGGCACACGGGGAGCCCACAAGCCCTGTCGGACGTGTGTGCACAGGGTGTGTAGCAGGTGGGGACGAGGCTTCCGTGTGCGAATGCAGGTTTATGCTGAGGCTTAGCTGGGAGATGAACAGCCCAGCGACAGATTTATTTTTTAAAATTAAAGATAGCTTGTAATATTTAAGAACTGTTTTGGTTTTAGAAGAAAAATCGGATGTATCTGTGTGTCTAGGTAAGAAGAAAAATAAGCATTGAATTCATACTTTTAAAAGCCATTGTCTTAAAAAGAAGGTTGTAGGTTTGTGGTGTGGCCCTCCTTGCTGGTGTGGAAGGGAGGCTCTCTCTCCTTCCTCCGCCACGTTGAGTATTGTGCAGAGCATCCCTGGTGAGTCAGAAGAGTGTGCCTGAAATGCACGGCATGGGGGCACAGGGCCTGGAGAGGTCACAGTGCCAGGAGCAAGTGTCCATTTTCTATTTCCTACCATTCGGCGAAAAATAACTTTGGGTGGGGGAAAGTGGAGAAATGCACAGATTGATTTTTAAAAATGACTTGGCTAAACAATTCTCTTAGAGTAAGGATATAGTCATTTCTGGTTTAGCTCCTAGGAATGTGTTAAAAGAAATGAACTTTGTTTGCTTTGCAGCCTAGATTTTTTGTTTTGTTGGTGGGAGAGAGGGAGGGAGGGAGAGAGAGAGAGAGAGAGAGAACATAAAATCACTGCCAAATTTTCAAGAATTGCTTATTAAAATTTATTCTATTGAATGACCTTAATTTTTAATTCTAAATCTTAAAATATTAGTTCCTGTACAGGGCACAAATTTTTGCATTTTGATGTAACTTTGCAGAAATTTAGTTCTAGGAGATAGGAAGTCATTCCAAGAGAACACAGCTCCACTTACACCGGAAGGAGCCCGCACTGGCGTGGGTCTGTTACAGTGCATTTTGTTTCTCGTGCTCCTCTCATGTGGACAAGTGATACTCCAAGCCACCATGTTTGTGGAGATGCTGGGTGTTTTTCATACTTATGTGAGAAGCACACGCATGCTCTTTATTCCACCTCTCTTCTGTTTCTATTAAAGCTTTTCATAATCTATTTTCAAATCTGCTGCTATTTTGAGTGTACAATTACAACATTTGAGTTAGGAATAAAAAGAAACAAGAACCATATTGTTTTTCTTTATAAGTGAAAAAAGGAGAGAGAAATAGCCAACATCTTAATAAAAGCCAGGAAAGTTGACAAGTATGAAATGTATATGTCTCTGCCGGGATTTCCCAGTAATTTCAATGCCAGCTTGTGTCACTCCCAGATGGAAATCTGAAATCATATAGCTCTGTGATCATAATGTCAATTTGGGAAACGAAGGAACTGCCTTAATTTCTGCTTTTGAAGGAATCATCCACTCACAGTATCTGTCCTTCCCCTATAAATTGTATTAGAAGCAAAAATGTGACTGAGAGAGTGAAGGCTTTGCACTCTTTCCCATTAATGTTTTCTTTGTGTTACAAACCAATCCCAGATCTTCCCACACCTCCTCATGTTCCCTAGTTTTCAGGACCTTTTGCTCAGGCTGTTGGTCCCAGTGTTCAGGCACAGAAGGGCCTAAACAATGAAAATTGGTGGTTGCTTTGAGCCAGTTTGTTTTGGGGTAGTTTGTCACCTAGGGAAAGTGAGCTAACAGAGTGATGATGGTTCAATTCTCAGCTTGTTTTTTTGGTGGGGTTTTTTGTTTGTTTGTTTGTTTTTTGTTTTCTTTTGGTACTGGGGATCGAACTCGGGACCTTGTGCTTGCGAGGCAGGCAATGGTACCACTGAGCTAAATCCCTGGCTCAGCTTGTTTTTAATAGTCTCATCATACAACAGGTTTACCCCAAGCTTGTTCTATTCAATAAAAACTTCTGAATATTTAAATTGTGCAGACTTCTTAATAAAATAATTTTGCATATGTATCCTCATATGCATATTTATTTAAACTATACAGCTGTACTGTGGTTGATATATATTTATAAAGTATCAATGATGCTTGATTTCTTTTCTGGGTAAAAAGTTAATACAGGGGTTGTGATGTTTTGTTTTATTTCCTCATTGCAGTGGGTCCCATCTGTCCCTTCAGGGTTGTGTCTGTTCCACTTGGGACCTGTTCTAAACTCTGAAATCTCCCCATAGTCACCTTTGAAACAGCTTTCCACACATGCTTAGTTTGTGCAATCTGTTTGTAAAACTAAACTCAGAACTCGATTTATTAAATGCTGATTATTGCAGAACCCTTAGGGAATTACGCCTGGATCAATAAATCCCCTTTGGTGAAAGCTACCACTCGTGTCTCTAGCAAATGTGCCCAGAATGTGTTCTGGTTTGCGGTGACTCTCACGTTACCATTTTTTCTTGTCATATTTGACTGTTTTGTGTGTGCTTCCAGACATCCTGTGTCTTTCCTTTTTTAATCCTGACTTTAAAAGGAGTGTTAATGATGAGGACAAGGGATGCATATTTGATGTCAAAAGATTCTGCAGCGCCTCACTTAGTAGTAGTTGTACTTTTGGATTCTGTTGGTTGAGAGTCTGTGACAAGCACGCTCAGTATTTTTTCTGAACAATCAGTCACAGGCAATGTGGCTGGTACTTGCTGTATATGTGGCCGACCCATTCCATTCTTCAGTGCTCAAAGCTGCGGCCAGAGGTGCCTGGGGCCCTGGGAGAAACTGGGAGTCAGAGACGGCTACGGTGTGGAGTGTAGGAGCTGCACCCGTGGACAGCTGCTTGGCCTCTTTGAGCTTTGTCTGCACAGGGGCCGGCACAGGGAAGGTGGCCTTATGGCTTATGGGAGCCACTGGCTGGTGGCTTCTGTTACTGAGCTGCTGTGGGGTTGAGCTTAGAGCTTTGTCTGTCCCGCCCGTGAGACCTCCTTTTAACCACCATACCCAGTTAGTGGGGAGAAGGGCATCATTTTCCCTATCTTCATTTGCTGGGAATCGAAAGAGAAATTAAGGCATCTGCTTGGGTTAGAAGCTGAATAAATAGAAGTGGAATATGAACTCTAGGACCATGCCACTCGGTACAGCAGCCATTAGCCACACTTGGCTGTGAGGTCCTAGTTAATCCCATCCTTCTGCTTATCAGCACAGTTTAAGCACTCCGTGTCTGAGTGTGGCCACTGTGTTCCAAGGCAGACACGAGGACATCTCTGTCGTCACAGTGTCCTGCTGGCAGTGCTGACCATGACTGATGGTCTCCAAGGCCTGCACTCTGACCACGGATTGAACTCTTCCTTACTCACCCATTCCTGTACGTTCTCATCCCTTCAACACACGTTTACCTAGGGCCAGCTAGGTGCAGGGAGCTGTGCCGGATGTTGCAGTTGTCTTGCTGTGGTGCTGTCAGGGTCAAACGGAGTGGGCAGGTAGGAGCTCTCCAGACTCTAAGGTTCTAGTGCCGTTGACGTTGTCCTTGCTGCAGTGGACGAGGCACCATGTCCTCCAGACAGGTGCCTTGTCCTCCTTCTTGGAGTCTTTCCCTCTCTCCCCTCTGCCCCTTCCCGGTGCTTAGCCTGGCACAGCACCCATCAAAAGTGAGCCGGAGCCTCCCGTCCCAGCGGCTCCTGTCTGCTGCCTTCTCAGCCTTTTGCTTAAGCTTCGGGAAACTCCAGGCAGAGTACTGTGGGAACTGGTTGCTCTGCTACCTGGGTAAACACCCTGGCCGTGAGATCGGCTGCTCAGGGCTTGGGCTGCCGCAAAGTCACTAGGGTGAGAAGAAGCAGATACCAGCTCCCACGGGCAGTCGGCCACGCCCACCCTCCATCATGCCCTAGACACAGTGGTCCAAGGTCCGTGTGCAGAATGAGCAGAATCTGACTCAAGGGCTGAGACAGAAGGGCAGACGTACTAGGAAGACTGAGATGCCCAGCCTTTCCCCTACTCAAGTCACCACCAGGCATCTGTAGGCCCACGTGAGGAGCTGATGTTCCCAGCAAAAGTGCCTTCAGGTCCCTGAGAGGCCCCCGGGCAGCTGTCGCCATGATGTACTCATCAGGGTGCTGCTGGGAAATGAGAAATCGATTGCCTGGCTTTGTGCCTCCAAAAGTAGTGATTTTAAGCTGACCAAGAGAAGGTGAGGCTACAGGGCTCTTTTCTTGGTGGCAATTCCTCATTTTATGTAAATGTTCTGCTTCTGTGGTTCTAGCAGGGTCTCATAACGGGTCTGTTGGATCATGCTGCCCACAGAGGCAGGGGTCAACTGTTCCAGGCGTTTGCTCTGCCACCCCGGCCTTCCATCCCACCGCTGTCCCCCATGAAAGCTCCTAAAGGCTTCATGCCCCGCCATCCCTTCCAGTTCGTCCCTTGGGGTGACTCAGGTGCCCCAACTTCCTGTCTTGTTCTGTAGCATAGGCCCGTGCTGTACCGGTTCATGAATCCACACTTCTGTTTCCAGTCTGCAGTGAGCGTTTTACTCCCTCAGCCAACCAGGCTGTGAAGAGGGTGCGTGGGCTTCCTCTGCTGTCCATCACGTCCTCCCCATGGGCTAGCTGCTATTTTTACCCCTTTGGTGTCAGGGCCATCCAGATGGACACTCGAGAGGAATGCAGCATTTCTTAACAGACTGGCTATTGTCTGGATCCGGCCAGACTTTAAAGGTGGCTCTATTGTGGGCGTTTTTCTGAGGTCCTTGACAGCTCCTCTCCCGGAACTCTCTGGCTCCTGTCCCTTGGGCACGGAGGGAGCCCACAATGGCCCTTCTAAGCTTCTCTTTGAGGACCTTCCCCCAATCTTGGTCTCCCATCA